GGTGGGGATAGAGATGATGGCATGCCAATGGTCTGAATTGACGACTTCTTGATTCCTTCCAACTATTGTGTCCACACCAATCTTGTTCAACATTCAGTAACTTGAAACACGCAACGGGTATGCCACTTCCCACAATCCATCCTTATTTCCTTTTTTTTCGTTTGCCTTCCAGAAGCATGACAGATCCGATAGCATCTGCAGGTTATTGCCAATAACCCAACTCGCTTCTTCAGAGGGAAAGAAGAAAAACCATCTAGAATTTGCCCCTCCCAGAATGCCAAAGTGCCACATGGTACGGGAAACAAAACCAACAAAGAGAATCGCATGATGTCGATCAGGCGATCTTATCCTCTGCCATCAAAATCAGAGGCACATTCATAAGCCCGTAAGTCTCCCCTGCCAAAGATACAATGCCACACGAATAAAGTGGTTATGTTTGTTCGAGATGTACAAGGCAAAAAATGAGCACCATTTTTCGTTTTCTGGATGCACCTATATCAAAGTCTCCGCAAGCATATGATAACTCGGATGCTTATTACCGCGGCAGGAAAGGATAGACACCAAGGTAGTCATCCTTCATGACGTCATGGTATACCAGTCATTTATCGACAAAGATTAAATCCCGCTGGGAAAAGGAAGAGGGAATCAAACGAAGGCATTATTAAGATATCCTTCTTGGGAGAGTCATGGAAGATGTAACACGCAGAACTGAAAAAAACATGGTAAAATTGGCCTCAGCGAAAGTGTCAAGTGAGATCATTGGGCTATATAGCCCTTCAGTCTCTTCCTATTATGTTTTTCATGGATATCGAGAGTCATGCTCCCTTATATCCCATCATCGGCCATGGAGGAGAGAAAAGAAGAAGAGAAGGAAGAAAGGGAAAAATTCTGCAAAAGACCATCAAGAGCCCGAAAATAATATCACGTGACACGATTATTCAGCATTAGGCGAGGCTCTGTTTGCACAGTTTGTACCTTTCCGTATAAGGACTAGCGTACTTTGCTAAGCTTGGAATAAAAGATTTTTTTCCTTCGCCTTTTTCTTCCAATATTTTTCTTCTCTTCCTTTCTCTCTCTCGTGCGGCGAACGCAGCGTAAAATGATTACTATCATCACCCGTGTTACCTATGCGTCTGAAGCTGTCTGTACAGGCAGGTGCATCAGTGATGTTATCCATTTAGGTGTCAGCTGCGTCCCAGAGAGATGAAATTGCACGTTGATTCTTACTTTTATTGGCCGTTCTACATATCAGCAGGAACGGCCATTTGTTGGAATCAAACACTCATTGCATACCTATTCCGTACTGCTTTTGAATGAATATACCTTGTCTAGAGTACCCCGTACGTGTATAAGAATGGAAGCCTCCGCTATTGCTATTATGCTACGACGGTTCCTTTTGTTTATGGCGAGTTATAGAATTTTCTGGAATCCCCAGCGTTGATTGCGTTTCACATAGATAGCCTGTTTCAATTGCCTGAGGCGCCAACCTTCTCTATAACACCTTCTCTCTTCTCCCCTTTCTCGCCGAAGATGCGTAGTCTGTCTACTCTTATCTTCTCGCCATCTCCATCACCGTCGACAAAATACACATTGAGGGAAGAAACTCCCTGGAACAGGACGTACCGGAGCTCAACGGTGGCAGTCCCCGTCTTTGGATCCCAATCCTTCGGAGATATTTCGCAAGTCTGCACAGGTTTGGAGTCATCCGCATCCTCAAATCCGATAATGTGTGTGTGGTTTGTAAAGAGCTTTATAGTCCTTGGCCGCATAGGTGCATCCTCTTCATCATCGCTGTATGGTGGGAGTGAAGTTATTTGTAGAGAATGAACCTTAGTGGAGGATTGGAAGGGGATGAACACAATCAATTGCTCGTCTGTGTCGCTTAGTACCCAGTCAGGGGTTGTGGGCTCGTTTTCTTTGCCCTTAGCATTGGCTGCGGCAAGGGTACTGGGAATCTGGCTGTCGAACAAACTTCTTGCAGGGCCGGCTTCGTCGTCACGGTTAAGCATATCTATGCCCTTCACTTCTACTTCATCTGTAATGTCCTGGTAAGTTCGCGGCGCAGGAGCACCTAGCCAGGTCGAACCGTCATCGCTACTTGTTTCCTTCGACGCTTTAGAGACTTCGCCGTTGGCAACCTGCACGCCAGCCATAACTGCAGTGGTGAGAGCGTCTTTTTCCGCTCCCTTTACCTCTCGTAGGATTTCGCCGTGATGGTAAACAACGAATGTGGGCATACTGAAACAGGAGACATGGCATGTTAGCTCCTTCTAAACTCCACATCCAAACTGTCCACAGTAGCAGTAGAGGCTAAGATGTGAGGAAAACTTCAGGTACATACGCTGTGATATTGAAGAGCCTTGCGATCTCTTTTTGCTTGTCCACGTTGACCTTTGCGAACCTCACTTTTTCACCAGCATGCTGCTCCGACAGGCTCTCAAATACCGGAGCTATTGCTTTACATGGTCCGCACCAGTCCGCATAGACTATAAGAAAGCAAAATGCTTAGTTTTATGTTGAAATAGGGATAGTTGAGAGAAAGGCAATTATGTTGATGTTGAAGTTAGTGGGGTAACGAGGGGCAAGCCCGGAGAGCTTTGGGGGGAGAAGGGATATCTTACAGTCCGCTATTAGAACAGGAGTCGTTGATAGCAGTGCTATGAACTCCTCTATGGACGTCACTTCCATCGGCTTGGACATATTGGGCGTAAGCGTGGCTGGTCACGTCGCGGCAGTAACTTGTCTTGGTTTTGAGGACGTTGGCAACTTCGCGCTTAGAGACTTTAAAGTAGTTAGTTAACTAACGAACTAACTAGTTAGCGACGCAAGCACCGGGTTCCCATTTTAGCCGCAGGCGCTGCTGCTTTGCCGCCACCCAAAGCTTTCAGTGGTGTATCCTCGATTCACATATAACCAGACATAGCCTCGGAAATATGTATCCTCTGAAAGTAATTGGATCTAAGGAGGTCTGGCTGGAATCTTTATAAAACTTGCGTTCTTCCTCCGTTTCATAGAAAATTTTTTAGAAAGCTACAAAGCGTCAGCAGCAGAGGCTTTTGTCTGCCTCCGTGGGAGAAGGATACCCGTGTCATTCCTGAAAAATAGTCATAACGATGGGGACGGCTGAAAAGCCTCCAGAATGGATCTGTTTTTGGCCGGTACGTTTATAGAATTATATCATCTAAAAGTTGTGTCTTTGATTATACAATTTCAAAGATAAACGCCAACAATTTGTGAAAAGACCTCAAGGTTATGATATACTTAGAGTAGTTGCAGTCATAATATAGTAATTGGATCCAAAAATGTTCTCAATGTGAAATCTTGCCATTGCTGTACCAAAGCTCTTAAGGGTAATGTAGCAAAAGAGGATATGGATCTTAGCTCCTATGCTATTCAGCGACGCCACAGATATGTCTAGTATGCAACAATAAAAGTCCCGGGAATTCCCATAACTTGCTAAGGCATTTGGCTAGTCGTCCGAGGAACAACAACCTGCCGTAATGGAGGTCCCTTCCAAATGAGTTTGCAGGCTAGTATCCGGTAGGTAAAGAGCGATGGCTCTCACCATAATGACAGACTGAGAAGGTCCTGCTCCCCCATCAATGGCTGTGGTAGTAAAAAAATAATAAATTAGGCGCAGACGCTTATCCATCAATGTCTTCGCGTACAGCAAACACTACCTTAGCCCACAGGCTACATCCCCGACAGCCTATAATAACCTCTCCTTTCTCTACTTCCTTCTCCAAATCTTCCTCGGTAACCATAAATCCCTTTTCGTCACCACATCGACAACCTCGATACCAGGTTTCAATGGTCTCTTGCCCTCCGCTCCCATCAGACAGGCATGAAACTGTCTCTGTGGCCATGTCGTCAAGGTCAAGTACCTCTAAACCAGTGCGGAAAACCACGTCATCATTCTCGTTCCTCTCAATATTTGATCTAGTCCTTGGAATTCCCGATAGCAGAAGAAATTGATCATATTCAGCTTTTGCTGCGGGGCTGGAAAGAACCTTGTAGGCAGTTGTAATCTGGTCCACGGTACGAGGCTCTGCGGATTTAGGGGTATTTAGTGTGCCAGATAGGCTATTCTGCTTTCCTATGTCTTCTTCCGGTGATGACAGTGGTATTGACGGGCCAGATTTATCCGGGTGATACTGGAGCAAAGCACGGTGGTAGGCGGCCTTGATGTCTTGCTTCCTCAACGAAACTGGAGGATGAGGGAGGCCGAGAATCTCATAATGCGAGATACCCCCATGGCTAGGGTCCGGAGGGGCCATTAAACAGGCGGCGCTGTCACTGCTGGTGGTTTATGCCCGCGATCTTCGACGCAGCCGTTGGAATTTCATTTCAGCTCAATTTTTGTGCTCGCTGCTTAGTCAGGCCCGTTTAGTTACCCAGTGAGCTTGGAGGAGGAAGAAAGTCAAGTCCCAAGCGCAGCTCTATGCCTGGAGCGTCATAGTGACGAAGCTACTCTTATATATTCAGTACGGCGTAATAGCTGACAGCGATGTCTGCATTGCACGGCTACCGGCAGCGAGAAGAAAAGTGCAGGTTGCGTTCTTTTATGGGTGTCTTGGATATCAGCCCATCCAGGTCAGCCTGTATCCGGGAACCGAAACTAACTTAACTAGAAACAAAGCCGATCCTGGTAGTTAATCCAGCTCTGTGATCCACAGCCTTGCTTTAAATATTCCTTCATCCCCTGCACTGGTTAAAGGCAAACTACTTCTCTTGGGGTTTTTTCTTTCTTTCTCGATCACTATTGTTCAGCAGGTGGTGCAACTTACCCCAGCTGCTACCGTTTACAATGCGTGCCGTAACCTTGATCGGGACCCTGTCTGTCCTTACGGTTCTTTTCTACTGGCTTGACTCGAATCTCAGTAGCTTTTACATCTTCAAGCCATCGAGACTTCAGGAATTGGCAAAGGCATCGATTGCCAAACACCCCAACAATGTCACCGCGTTGATGGTGGATTTAAACGCGGCGTTGCAGGAGGAATATGGCAGTCAGCATATTGCGCCCTTTACCACCAACCCAGACAGATGGATTTGGAGGTATCCTCCCCCCCTCCCCGCGTTATATGATTATATTTCCAATTGCTTTATCAGACAACAGTTCCTGGTATGTGACTAACGCATATGGCAGTAACCACGGAAGCGCTATGGGAGCGTTCACTATTCTCCACGCCTCTATTACAGAATACTTGATATTCTACGGCACTCCTATCTATTCCAACGGACATTCTGGCCTTCACCTAGCTGATGACTACTTTGTCATTCTCAATGGCACAGAAAAGGCCTATAGACCAGGACAGCTGGAGGCCACCACATACTGGCCTGGAGATGTCAACCACTTGCCCAGAGGACAGTCAATTCATTATGCCATGGATGGGTGGGCTTTAGAGTTGGCGCAAGGTAAGTTAATTTTCGCATCTTAGGTGAATGGAATAATCAATATATCCAGGAGTGAAATGCTAATATGTACGGATTGTAGGTTGGATTCCAAGCATGCTTCCGTTCGGACTGGTGGAGTCATTTACTAGCAACCTTGACTTTGTCAATCTTTGGAAGACTTGCTACTTGACTGCGGAGCTGATGGGGAGACAGCTGGGAGTTGGAAAATTTTGAAAACAGGCAAACACAGCGTTGGACGTTTCGAGGAGAAGTAACGCCAGATGTAATATATAGCTCGGGTAATTCATTGGATAGAGTGAGTGGGTGTCGGCTATTTCTCTTTGTTTCTCTGAGTATTTCATTGTTCGGTGCGGGTAGTCTAATGAAATGAGTAGCAAGAGTGGAGATGGATGCTCAACAATGACGTTATATTCTACGGCTGAATACACGATAGTCAATTTGGAGTATTCCATACACAGCTTCAAAATGCGTGTCATCTAGTTTAAACGCCATAAAGATCCTGAATTGATAAAGACGCTAAGTTAAATGGGTCTAGTTAAATGGGTCTAGGTAGGGGGAATACTTTAATCGATACAGTAAGCGAGACAAGCAAAGGAGGTATTGTGGGGAAGTGAAAAGAAAGAATGGGGGAAGGGAGTAGATAGAAGTGGTACAAAAGGAAAAGGACTGGAAGTTGTCAGGACATGAACTCATATAAAAAGAGCTAATAAAACTCTTGCCATTTTCAGTTGTAGTCTTTTATTGCGTCTTGTTTTTTTTTTTTGCTCCTCTTTTCGGCCTTCAAAATCAAAATCAATTGGCTGATTTACTCGGAGGGCTTGAAAACGAAGCGGTCCTCTGGCTTAGACTCGAATGGAACACCAAGCTCAAGGAGCTTGACGAAAGCCTCGGAGAATTCCTTGAAGAAAACATCCGAGTCCTTGGCGTAGCGCTCGACGTGCTTCTTGAACTCACGGTCCTTGATCAGGGCCATATCGGTGGGAAGCATCATAAGAGTCTTGGTCTTGTTGTCAGTGAGCTGGGCAGGGCCGGACCACTAATTTTTAAGGAGTTAGTTAGTTGATGTTAAATAAATAAGCAAAGGACGACGGTTGCATATTTGACGTACCTTCTTGTTAACCCACTTCTCAGAGAGGAGGAGCTTGAAGAACTCGTTGGTCATGACAGTAGGGCTGAAGTCCCAAGGACCGTCATATCCGGAACGGTCAGCATGGGCACGACCCAGGGCATGAGCACCGCAGAGGGCAACCATTTCACGGTCGTCAAAGCCCATGCGGCCAAAGATGTCTCTGATATGCTTCTGGTCCTTGGAGGCGTCGGGGAGACGGCCATCTGGAGTGCAGGCAGAGGCATCGTTATCCTTACGGCCAGGTCTCCATGGGATGGTGGGACCCTGCAACTCCTGGATGGCACAGGCACCGGCAAGAGTCCAGAGATCAGAGTAGGAGATCCATGGGAATTTGGCTATATAGTATAACAAATGTCAGCAACACTGTCATGTTAAACGCATGTCAACTCCTCAGTGTGATGATGGTCTAGACTCACCCTTAACGGGCTCCAAAAAGTCGCGAGCAGTCTTGAGACCAGCATTGGCTCCGTGGTTAGACTCGGGGTCGAATCTCATGGTAGCTCCGTTGCTTCCTCCGGTCTTGGTGTCCTTGCAGTATGTGCCGGATGCGTGCCAGGCGAGACGAACGAGAACCTATCAAAAACGGGGAGATATATCAGTCACCGGCCCTCATGCGTATCCCGATAGACAATAAAAGAAGAGCGAAAGGCTTACCGGTCCGTAGCTGCCATCATCATAGTCATCCTTCTCCACAAGAAGGTGCGCAATCTCGTCGTAGACCTTCTGGTAGTCCTCCTTGGTTGGGACAAATGGCTTCTGAGCAGCAGCAAAGCTCTCATTGTTCATGTAGTAATAAGTACCACCGGCAGCCAGGGCAACAGCTCCGAGAGCCCAGTACATGCCAGAGGAGGACTTTTGAGGCTCGGAGGCCGTGGAGTATCCTCTTCGCCAGGAGGCTCTGTAGGTCTGTGCTGGAAGGGAGAATCGAGCAGCATTACGAGTTGCCGAGGGTCTGACGGAGGTCACAGGCGTAGCGCCGCGAGCAAGAGCTCTCGAGAAGGTACGGGCAGCAGAGGCCATGGTAGCAGACAGCCGAAGCTAGATAGCAATTGACTGGTGTTAGAATGAGAGTGGTGACGGCTTTGATAAAAAGCGACGATGTGACGAGCGGGAGATGAGGACGCAGAGGCGAAACGAAGGACGAGCGAGGCAGGGAAGTGAGGAAAAGGAAGAAGCAGCAGGAAAAAAGAAGCACGCAGAAGGACGACGACGGAAGAGCGAAAGGGAAGCGTTTGGACCGAGATTAGTCATCCAGAACCATGGGTAAGACAGGAAAAGATCTGTCCTGATTGGCTGGACGGAGCCTACCCCACTGAGTTACCGGAGCTTGACAGCCAATAAGCGGCCAGTAATTTGATAGCAAGAGTCACGTGCAAGAACGGATATTATGTAATCAAGGCCAGAAGGGACCGGGCGGGCAAAAGGCGATCTATGACAGCGCGAAGACGGAGCGCGCGGTGGGCAGGGCAGCGGCGGGCGCTGGAGAGGCCGCAGCTCTGGCAGAGGTGAAAGAAGGGCCAAGGAAGCAAGTTAAGCAAGTTAAGCAAGTTAAGCAAGTTAAGCAAGTTAAGCAAGGCGAGAGTGCGGAAGAGCACAGCCAGCATGCAGACGGGGATTATTATTAATTAGTCATCCCGAGGCGAGGTGCGCCGCAATGGAGTATACATACTGCCTAATTAGTCAAAGGCCGACCCGCTTAGTTGCTCGGGCGGATTTCGGAGAGAAAAACGGCATCGGCTAACTTACCTTATTTAGACGCGTGTTGGATTAGGTTACCTAAGTTACCTTTGAACGCCGCAATCGCTTTAATAATAATATAACAACGCCTAGATGGACACTCCGTTGTGATGTACAGAGAACCATGTCTGATGATATGCCGGAAGACAAAGGACTGGCCTGTCAACATGTACTCCGTACAAGCTTGCCTTCATCTGCCTTTTGAGGTTGTGTGTGGTTGCTGGTACAGCGAGATCATCAAGCCTAGGTTGCTCACTATTGAACAGTCATGCAGGCTGGCGGAAGGGCGCATTAAAGCTCCAATGGCAGCTTCAAGCCATTGCCCATTTAGGAATGGACACGTTTGACAAAACTATCAGGTGTCTTTAGCGCCATCTCCCAAACCAAATATGTTGAGAAACGCTGCGACGTTCCGAAGATATGTGGAATCATCCTTGGACACTGCTTATGCCCGGATGAATAACCAACTCTGCCTAGACCACACATGTCTCCATTTTATCGACAGGGTATATTATTGAGTCACAACTTAACGATGTCCTAGAACTGCCTGCTTGAATACATATTTTAAGTCAAGATCTCCCTGTGGTAACATGGGATATATGCTCCTCTTTTTTTGAACTGTGAAATCCACAGCTAGGAGGATTAAGTCCGGAACCTACAGTGCTGGGTCGGAATATCAGCTGCTGGGAAATACTAACCTGACCAGTGTTACTCCGTTCTCTCTGCTAATATCTCGCATAACGGCATTTACTTTACCCCAGCCAGCATCTTACTCCTTCGAGGAAGACAACTATGGCCAGAACGGAGCTCAAGATGATGCCATATTATCGAGAAACAAGCTGTACTTCCAGATACCCGATACCCCAGATACCCCAGATACCCCAGAATCTCTTCTCGCGATGAGAGATCCTTGGCACCTGCAAGGATATATCCGATGGGGTTAACAACCCCCTTCACGTTATTTGTCTTGGTTGGGAAGCAATACCAGCAATTAAAAAGTGCAAGAAAATCTCGAAGGCAGGAAGCAGAAATGGCATACAGCTTACAACCTGATAGTTACTGACTACCGCAAAACGAGAAAACAACGCTAGAACCATGCAACCAATACCATTGCTCAGCGGTTTATGCATGATTATGTTCCGACTCAATTATTGGACCGCAGGCCTGACGTCTCATCATCGGTATGATTGAAGCTACGAACTTGACGAGAAACGTCGAGGGCCTCAAACAATCTTTCCAGATTTTATAACACAAGATCTTTACACAGCCTTGCAGAACACACCCAACAAAGTAATTGCAGCCCACTAGTTCTATATTTATATTGAGCTCGCCAGTGCTGGGCATTTGGCTCAATCATGGAGTCACCCTCCGACGAGAACCCAGATTACAAGCAGCCAGGAGTCCATGACCTAACCTCTGGAGATGTTGAAAACGAAACACTTGGTGATGACAATTGCTCAGATTTTGTGAACAGTCAGTATTGGCCTGGGCTAGATTTACCTCCTTTGACCAACGGATCTACCAGAGGCACAAACGATGAGAGCATTCCACAGGAACATCAGGCGGATGAGATATACGAATATCCTCCTCGTCACATTGAGTCTGGCGATACCGGGCCCCCAGGTACTGGAAGTAATTTGGAGGGTGTCTCTACATGGCAGTACATTGATATGTTGAGGGATTTGACAACAATTTCCGTGAGTTCTGGTACGCCGCACCCCTCCCTTGACCAATACATTCAAGATAGATGCCTAACCTACTCTCTGCTCCACAGGCTCCGACAGCACAGTAGGGAACTCTGGCGACTTAATTCAAGAGTGCAATCAATTAAGCAAGAGCGCCCCATCTCCTCCTTGGAGTCATTTTGGAATACCGTCGGTGACTAACATGGCCTTGCCTCAACCCGTTCAACTCCTCCCGAGCCTTCCTAGACATAATCCAACCGTTTTTGCAGGTAATAATTGGCAGGCCGCCGAAAGTAATGACAATAGGGCACCTCAGCCGTACGGCGTCAATGAGCGGCGAGAAGAAACACTGTCATTCCAAGGGGTGGTATCTCGGCCAAGTTGCTGGAGATGCATAATTTACAAAAAATCAGTACGAGTCTAGCTCTATATTGAGTTCCAGGGACCGAACTAATATCTTGTCATGAAGTGTAACTGCCATGTCATGACATCCACCCGTGGATTAGAATGCTATCGGTGCTCTTTAGTTAAAAGGCCGACATCATTTAGGCTACCATGTGATACCCCTCCGATGGCAGAGCTAATGATGGCTCTTCTTCCAGGTATGGAACCTACAAGCTACCCTTTACTCAAGTAATAACGGACCCCATAATTACCGCACGATCGCGTGCTAAAATTCTCTTTGTTCTTTAGGGGAACTTCTAACATTGTTAGAAGGAACGGTAAACAAACATTCTGGGGGAGGCCAGGGTAGACAATTAGATACGGCCGAGGAAGATAATACTTTTTTTGTTGAGCTGGCAGCCAATATTGGACCTTCTATGGCTCTTCCAACAGTACGACTCAAGCCAAAAGCCGAGGTCATTCATTCTCATACCAAGCCATTTCAGCCGGAAGACACAACCATTTATGTGCGGGACGAAATTAAAAGAATAACAGTTGTGTGGAATGAGTGGCTTGACGCAGTTGCTGACGACCAACATAATCAATCATGCAAGCTCATATTCCGCGGTTCCCATGACTGGGCTCTTCAAGCCTTGGATATGGTTTGTTGTTTTGCAAGCACGGCAGCACACATACCATCTATCGGAGACGAAGATAAAGCAAACAACCCCAATACGATGCTTCACTGCTCAGTTCGGCTATTTTTTGCAATATACCTGATGTCGATGCCGTTGAAAGTGAGTGGGATGGGTATTGAAAGTGAAAAGGAGCGTATAGAAGTGGAGTACCAGTTCAAGTCCAAGGCACGCAACATCTTGGAGAACTTGATTAGTAAAATATCCAAGAACTTGGACAATCTAATATGCAAGAAGCGAAGACAGTATATCGGACATATCCTAGTCACTCTTGTCTTCTTGTCACTTTCCTGCCACTTCAACCAATCCATTCGCTTGAGACTGGCCGGCATTGCTGGGAACGAATCTTCAGCCAAAGCAGATATTGATACCATGAACAGAAATATCCACTGCATCAATGAATTGGTTTATTCCACCTTTCGACCCCAGATTGAGAGGATACTCAAGCCTCGGAAGCAAGGGGATAACAATCAAGACCAACTAAGCACTTCAACTGTGGAGCTTCGGCAGATTAATTCAGAGTTGATATGGGGCTTATGGTCCACGGTAACCGACATCAGTGAGTATACCTTCTCCCTCAAGTAGGTGTGGATGATGCTGATAGCCTCTTTTTTCTAGACAAGACGGAGATCGGAAATGAGCTCCGTCAGAGTGGGCAATCGTATGACACGGCCACCAGTATCTCTATCGATGACGCCTCGAGGGCCTTGTTCGACGCAATAGCACCTCTGACTGACAAAAACCTTCAGCCTTTGGGGAGGATGGAAAAGTGAGTTCACACAAAGTTTCTAGAACGCCTCCTGTTGATTGTTTTACACAATTTTCACGATTGCCTTTCCAATACATGATAACTCGGCGTCTGTTTGACAATTGTCAGGGTATGGATTTTTAACTAGTCATCTGATCTCACTATATCTCGCTTGGCCTTCTGCCTCGCATATCCGATAGTTCAATATTTTATTATCCTTCTTTTAACAGTTATACCCGGGTTGGAAGCAGGTTTAAAGTAGATGTAAAAGAGAATTAATAAATTAAGCCGGTTTCTACATTATTCTACCATTTTCTACTTTCTACTAACCCTTCTACTTAAGCAACATTAGTTATAGCCTCCCCGACAGGGTCCGGGAACGGCTCTATAGAGAAGAGCAGCAAAGGCTTGAAAAGGGATGGCTGAGTCGAACATACGATACCTATTAGTATCAATATTCTACTGGAAGATACTTTTTGTTTCGAGTACATTTATAATAAAAACCCAAGTTTTTTTAATTCAAAAAAAAAGGCGTATAGATGGGTATGTTTTTGCTCCATAACTATCTATCTTGCTGTCGCCAATGGTTGACTGACTGAGAATCAGTGCGGCCACCCTCTCAGGGCTCCATGTCCGCAATCACATATCGAAGTCCTGAGGTGTGACTCACGGAAGATTGAAGAGACGTTGACAGATAAGGAAAATGCTGTCCGAGCGGTTATGGCTCTGCGCAAGAGAGACAGTAGTGATTGTGAAGCCTCTATTACGCGGATATGGGGCATAAGACTCCCCACAGCGCCCCAGCATGCTGCCAACTCAGTCAGTCCTTGGGTTGATTCGATAGACAATGGCACACAGACTGCAGTAAGCCATCAGGTTTGAGAAAAATAACTATATAGTAGCTATCAGTAGTCAGACCTGCCTGAGTGATGAAAATGACCTTGCATTTTGTTCTCTTGCGCCTACAATATCAGCACGACAGTCTAGAAAAGTATCAAATCCATTGGCCAAGGGGTCTTCCTCATAGATTTACCAATTTCGCTTAGTAAAAGCCTTTACTTCAGCAAAGAACCCTTCCACTGGATTCGGATCTAGAGAATATGGCGGTAAATAGACAAATTTAACACCCGCTTCCAGGCACATTCTCACAATCTGCTCAGAAAGACGAAAAGAGGCGTTATCCCCATAATTAGAACAGGTTCTTGCTCTGATGGGGACCCATACTTGCATATCGTAGTAATGCAAGATTCCGCCCCTGTACGCAGACAAAATGCATGACTGCAGTTTCAGCTGGCGGAGAAGGCCTGGCTTTGAGGACATTTGATAGGGTTCGGGGGGAGGACGAGCCACTGTCAATCAAATCAACCAGGCACCGTTTGGCGCCCTGTGAGCTGGAGATCAAACACGGAGTTCCATCCAGGCTCAGCTTGGGTGGCTCTCAGGCAGCAAGCAGCAGCACGGCCACCTGCGTGCAAGGAGGGTTGCATGCTGAAGAACTCCGTATAGACTGCACATCTGACACCGTGCCATCGCAGGATCTAATCTCCCATGCCCTGTGGCTATGCAAGAATCTCCTCCATCATCGCTGTCGTCCGTCATCGCTATCATCATCATCATTATTATTCGCATCTTCGCTTCATCCACTTCATCGTCGTCGTCTTTTTCCTCTTTTGTCGCTTCTCGCATTTTCTTGCTTTTTCCACGATGCAACACCGTCTTAGTAAGCAACTAACCTACGCAACACCTGCATGCAGGGCGGTACGGTACGGTACGGGCGGTAACGATAGTCGACGGGCTAGGCACCCGCCAAGGACCAATCAGGGCACCCGCCTTGGAACCGCGAATGCGCCATCCGATACGCCCGTCGTAACGCCAGGTACTGCTGAGTCATCAGGCCCCGTGATCCTTCATCCTTCCTGCTGTCTCACTTTTTCCGCTTTTGGATGAATTTTTTTTCTTCTCCTTTTGCTTCTTTTGCTGCGAAAAAACGACAAGAAAAGGACGACGGAAGACGCAGAAGACGCAGAAGAAGAAGAAGAAGACTCGGTCACTCGTTACAGACATCACCATCACGACTCTCGCTACTCTCGAACCCCCGACACTCGTTCATAGATCGAAGAAGCGGCAGAAGGGCAGCGTTGCGCGGAACCAGGCGGACCGCATCACTAACGGTCGACAGGGAGTCAATATCTCCCTCCATCCCCCAGCCGTCGAAGAAAGCTGAGGCCGCTGCCGGCGAAGAAGGAGAATCGGTACTTAGCACATCATCACGATGCGGTGGACGTCGCGGCTCTCCTTCCTCGCCCTCTGCGTCGCCCTGCTGGCCCTCGTCGCGGTTGGCCAGCAACCGCCTAGCCGTCATGCCCGTCACCGTCGGCAGATACTGAGCGGCGGAGACTCTCCCACGAACAATGGCAACGACAAGCTGCCGCTGCCTACGTCCGGCTCAGACAACAAGAGCAGCGACGAGAACAAGTCGACGCCGTCGCCGACCTCTGACAAGCCGTCTACTCCTCCTCCATCTCCCACCTCAGACAAGCCGACCTCTGAGCCGCCCACTTCGGACAAGCCCACGCCAACACCACCACCAACCTCAGACAAGCCTACGCCGACTCCTACCTCTGAGCCCAACACGCCTACAACTCCTCCTCCATCTCCCACCTCCACGCCCACGGATGCGCCGCCATCGCCAACCGGAAACCAGCCTAGCAGCACTCCCCCAGCTCCAACAAACGACAATCCTACCAGCAACCAGCCGACTCCGAAGCCCACGTCCACTCCCAAGTCGACACCCAAACCCACCACCATCATCATCACCCAGACATACACCAACAGTGATGGCTCCGTTACCCAGTCGACCATCTCGAGTGTCTCCACTCCTCCACCAGAGCCAACTGTTGGTGACGGTGGGAACGGTGGCAGTGGCGGTGGAATGAGCCCTACCACCCGCAACACCATCATCGGTGTTGTTGTCGGTGTTGGCGGTGCCATCATCCTCGGTGGTCTGGCCATTGTCTTCTTCAGATTGCGACGCAAGAGAAACGCCAACGCTGACAATGATGATGATGACCTGATCCAGACTGGGGCCGCTGTGGGTTCCCAGACCCACGAGGCTCCTGGCAGTAGCCCATTCAAGTCCACTCTCGACCAATACCACAAGCCAGGAGCAGTCAACCCTGCCTCAAACTTCTAGAACCTTGTGGCTTCCGTTCCTGATGATTATGCGGCGTGTTTACGTGGATCTTGCGACTTCTGCCTTGCATGATTTATCAAGACACTCACAATACCTCACGCGGGAAAGGATTTTCACACGTTCTGGTTTGGGCTGTCTATCCTTCTTTACGAGTTATCTCATTGCTGTAGTCTTTTGATGTTTATTTTTTTTATTCCCTATTATAAACGGCGCGCGGGGGATCTGGATCTGGAACTGGAATCATTTTACCAATTGTTGTTATTTTTCATTTTCTCTACACTCCTTTTTCATGACTATGTTACATCCCAATCTTCTTCGTCTTCTCCATTGCATCCCATAAATTGCATTGCTCTCCTTTACCACATACCCCAATGTGCAACTGATGGGTGGTTTAATACTCCCTATTTCACTTCCACTGCTACTTATTCAACTCCCTTTCCTCCATCTTCTAAAGGATCTTCATCAAATATCCTTTGACTCTCCTTTTTTTTTCGGGCAATACGGTTACCACATTTTACCCCAGGCTTTTCTTTACAGACTGGATTGCTCTTTATCTCACTTCCCTCCCGCTGTTCCAATCATATCCTCTCTTCCCTGCTTCAGCAAGCGATCAACAGCATCTTCCTCTCAAAAGATCTTCTGATTATCACTTTTTAATAACCCTCCACTCTAGATCTTCCTCTTCCTTATGTGATCTTACTCGATTGTTGTCGAACTGTATTTTACTTTTTACAATCTTGATCATAACATAGTAGGAAATTTGATTTAGATATAATATATACCCACTGCCTCACAGTTGACATAAACATTAGGGAATATTATATTGAGCCTATCTGTGTAGAAGTCGTTTTTTAACTTCTTAGGTACTTCTTGACAGCTTCACCCCAAACAGGAACTTTCTTATACTCAGCCATCAGAGGAACATTTCCGTTTTCAATACCCTCAATTGCAGCAGCAAGGTCCTCACCGGACCCTTCCTCCTTCAGTTGTCGAATAGGATATCTATATGTATGGATGGAGAACACAATGGCCCCAGACTTGGGCAGACGATATAGAGTCTGTCTCTCGCAACGCAGGAATGTCTGCATGAACAAACAATAGTTAATCAACCGGCTAAACCAAAACTAACTTCAATCATCAAGAAGAAATAGCACTTACATCATCTATATCCAGCTGCTCCAGCCGTAACTGTTTCATCCCCTGCCCTGTCGCCAGGTGCTCATCTCCAAATGCATAGAACAGCCCTGCTCCCGTCGTGATGCTCCAATTGACCCGTTTCACGAATTTCCCGACCTCTAGCTTTTCAAAGTATCTATCCATGCTCTTCTCGATTTTCTCCCGGTACCCTGGCACCGGCTCATGCACACCATTCAACTGCTTGCCCAGTTTCTCGCGAGTGTTGAACCCAGAGGGGAAACACGTCACATACGCCTGCAGAACATACTTAAGGCTCGACGGCTTCTCCCTTAACTTGTCATTTTCATTTCCGCTACTCCCCATTGGTAAAAGAATGAGCATATCCTCGTCGACTGTTTTGCCTAGGGTCTCCAATGCATTAACCAGCGGACGACCGGGTGAAACTGTTGCCGGCAGAACCTCCCCTGTAACCTTATTCTGAAGCATGAACACCTTGCAGCTTTCATACTTGGCTTCGATCAATTTAAACATAGTCGGGTATCTGTTTGGGAGATAGATACCCATGACAAATTCATATAACTCACAAATTGCATCGTGGGCCAGGGGAAACTCTTCGCCATCTACATCCGACTTCCCCTTGCTCGAGGCGGAGTGAATACCCAAGGCAATATCATGGTGCTCTTTAAGGACCCTTCGGCGTTCGGAGATCCTATCTTTATATTCCTTGTCTATGGGTATCAGCTCGCTTGGCTCGAGTGTTTCAAGCGCTATTATTAAAGGCACACATATAAGCAAATTAGCCCGCCTGTCTTCTATTTATATAGCCTGTGAGGATCAGGAAGGCGAAAATCTCACCCATGGTAAGGTTGTAATTTGGTTTGTACGGCCGTAGCTGTATAGGCTCCGTGGTCTCCCAATTGAACTTGTCAAGCGGCTGTATCGGGGGGAAATCATCTTCGGTGACCACCGTAAGCTTGCGTGTCGTTCCAAAAGACTTCTATAATTATAATCTTAGTCTATTGAAGCAGCGTAGGCATAGAGGACATAGCGTGGATGACGTACTGGCCCGTCAGACCTGGATCGGTACCATATCATCACGATTACTGGTAGTAATAGGAGGACGTTTGTGGGAACCGAATCTTTCAGCTGGGCCAAAAATCCCCGTATGGAGTTCCAGTATGGCATCACGTCGGATAGAGCTTTCTCCATGGCTTTGAACCGTCCGTTTGCCTTCAAAATGTAGATGTATCAATACTAAACCGGAGTTTCGAGAATATTGCAACTGAGATCGACCTTGCAAGAAATCGCAGTCCTGGGTATCAAACCACCACCCCAAGAATCAGAACAAGCTATGATAGCCTGTGACAGATCTTAAAATATATATTAAAAAATAGCAGAGCAGAGCAGCTATCCAGAAATTGTACTAAGAATGCAACCGAGGTGGAAGCGCTCCCTGGTGTGGAGAAGTGGCTGTAAACCGGAGGAACCGGTGTTCGTTAAGTGGTATTAATAGGCCCAGCACTACTAAGTTACCTCGTTAGCCGGTGGACCAGCCAGACGCCCTTCAACTCCACACGGTTGGTCGAGCCCAAGGTTACCCGTCGAGTTCTTTGTCACTGAGGATGAATGTGTTATAATAGGAGGCGAGCGGGATTTAAATTTGTGATATTTACGGAGTACGTCTGAAGGGGACAAGAAAGAATATATGATAACATCTAACTGCGTTAACTAGTTATGGCTTAACATCTCTGTTCGCTTCGTAACTTAAGGAATGCATGCAAGAATCAACGAGAGACGTCAGGAGAGACAAAGGAGTAGATATGCGATGGACTCGAGGGTCAAATTGAGAAGAACAGCCACCCTAGGACAGAAATGTACGAGTTATAGGCTGACAGGATGTTCATCGTGATATAAGTATCGCAACTTCGGGATCGGGGGGTGGTATACTCCTATACTCCAGTAGCCAAAATTATAATAACAAGGTCTTTAACAGTAAAAAAAAGAAGATAATGTAGAGGGGATAAAAAGAGCAAAGCAGACGCCGAAGTGTAGCTTTCCCGAATTTATATGTTTGTCAGGGGACGGGACAGGGCAGTAAGCTAATAACTGAGCAAGCGCAGGATGGGGCTTGTAGTAGGGCTATGGTCTACTTCTCTCATAGGCGCTTCTGCCTCTCTTGCTCGACAATCCTGCTGGCTCCCAGATGCTCGAAGAGAATTTGCAATTTGGCCTGCCGCAGACGGGATGAACTGATCGAGTCCCTACCGTCTCGTAACAGGTGCGAGTTTGTGCTGTTGATTATCGAGCGAGTATCGTAAGGTAGCTTGTACTCCTGTAATATTCGGTCCAGCTGGGTTACTGTTCCATAGTCAATATGAAGGCCGATTATCAGATTCAACCAGGATATACATAACGACACTGACCATCTAGCAGCTTGACCGACTCAACGGTCTTGGGGCTGCGGAAATCCGTAGGGAATCTCCCGTCAAAGCACATCATAGGATGTACCTGTGTGAACTGGCTTCGGGGATTGATATTGTGATTTGCAAGGGACACGGCAAGGTTTGTCCGGCGAACAAGCTCAGCCAGCGCCGTGTCGTTTTGAGCAATGTTGGGATTCTGCATGAAGCCATTCCCGAGATGATGGGAAACTCCGTGTTGACCCCCGTTGTAGTTCAGCTGCTCTTCTTGCCGTGGGTTATAGTATGGTGAGGTCGGGTCAAGTTGATGGCGCATGTTGGGATGGTCTCCAAAGTCAAAGCCTTGCACTCCCTGCTGGGCCTGCTGCAATGCAATGCCAACATCACTTGCTGTCATTGACCGGGGGTCTATCCCGTATGCTCCGCCAGGTAATGCGGAAGTTCTGTGTCTATCGCCACCACGAGGAAGCATAGTCGTGTCTAAAGATAAGGTAATTGCGTATGTCCACGGGTAGTAAAGAGTAAGTGAATAACTAGAAAACTGGTTATATATCTTCTTTGGCTTTGTTCAATTAAATAATGAAAGGTAGAGTAAAAATCCTCCAAAGCAGAGGAGCAAGCAGTGTTCAAATAGGGCGGAATTTAAGATCCGGATGTTAGTCAAGCAGAGAGGAGATGAGTAAGTGTCTTCGGTTCCAGACATGAATCCCGGAAGCGGACTTTAATATATTTCGATATCAAAGGCAAGAATAGCAGCAGCAACACCGAGGGCGAGCTGAACATGCTATACGAATATAGGGCGATTGGGATGTTGCACCACGTCCAATTGTGACACTGAGCTATTCTGTCCTTGCTGTTGGCTTAGGAGCCGGACAGTTACAGGGAAACATGTTTTGAATAGACACGCTGTGGACAATTTGGCAACACAGTTGTACATCCAGCGAATGCTACCTCCATGAGCTTCTTCTCATGGCCAAATTCATCTGCAATTCCTCATACCCTAGGCGAGGGAGAAGAGAAAATTGGCAGGATGAGACAACAAACAGATCATACTGGGCTGTCATGCGGAGGAATTCTGTGTAGCACAGGGTGTTGTAAAGGCCAATGCCCAAGGGGGATTCCGCCCGGAGGTATGGGGAGCGGCGCAGACATAAGCCAATGCAAGGTGTTGAAGGGCGATAGCTAGCTATCAATGACAAACAAGTATAGGGCAGGTATCGCTTCGTGAGCAAGTCAGATTCAAGAGTTCAGGTAAATTGATCTGTTGCACACAATAGTTGACAACTCATAGCAATATAGAGTTTTCTAACTATGACAAACATCCATATGCTAAATTGGATAGAGGCAATGCAACAGACCAAACGGGCGCCGAGAAAGAGATCAGCTGAACGAATGAGCCGGTGAATGCGCTGTATTCCGCACTTGAATGAAGGTATGGAACGCCCGGGGAAAGGCAGCGGGCAGACTGGGTGCTTTTCCGCCCAAGAAATGACCCTCGCCTCATGTTGGTGAACAACACCTAGCTACCAAACGGCGCTGCTTTGGTTGGGCAGAAGTCCCGTAGGTAAAGGGGGGATTCTTTAGCCCAAACCAGTACTTGGGAGTAAAGGACATCAGGCCATCCCTACCCTGTTAACGGGGTACAAAGTCCCATCCAAAAAAAGCTCCAGGAACATTTCTAGAAACATTCGGTTGCAGAATGCAGTCTTCCCCCCCTTGCCTGAGAAGTACCTGTAAGACATCCTAGACCTCTAACCGGGTCATACACGTGTTTACATGGTGAGGCTGATAATTGCCCTTCAAACCGTGCTATAGCTCCGTGTGACTAACAGCTCATAGGAGGGCCATGGGTAGACAAGCCATACACAAGCGAGACAGCATCTCCTCGAGCACAGCACTTGGTATCTATGTATGAACGAACACCACGGGACTTCCCATTTGTCATATAGCAGCAGACGGACCGGGAACGGAAAGGCCATGAGTCTTCCGAACGGCATCCGATCTCGGACATCCTTGGTTGTGAACAGCGCCCCGTTTCAACTCGGCCTGGCATCAACAGGTAAGGTGAGCGTTTTTCTTCGAGAAACAGCTGCATCGGGCGCCGCTGTCCCATGCGGAGCAACGTTCTCATCCTGCGCGCCCCTCGCCAACGACGCTTCACTTCTGGTGCTAGCACTGCCGTAGAAATCTATCCCAGTCATACTGAATGCCCTTCTGCGTCCACTTGCAGATTCGGAAAAGATGGGAATTGGCGCAACGGGTCGTCGTCTACCCCTGGCACGACCCCCGATGACAGGTATTTCGTATGTTGCTGCCCGCCAGATATAGAGGACGACATCGTACACGAGGAAAAATAGAAACGGCCCCATCATCAGCGTGCCGAGAAGAACCTAGAGGTCACACATGCTCCGAGACAGCGTCCGGGTTAGCGAGGGTTTCCTGACACGGTTATACGATGGGTTGGTCTACTGTGTCGATGTGGGCGGGCGTGATGTGGACGGAGAGGGGGGAGGGAAAGGTGCATACAAAAAAACGGATCAGCCACCCCTCGAATGCGGTAAGCTCCTGCGGGAGAAGAGAGTACCAGGTCATCTTGTTCTCTTGCCCGGTCTTGCGTATCGTTGAAACTTGTAGAAAGCACGGCAGTCGGATAGCAGCGCCCAGGGTATGTATGTTCTGTCTACCTGCCGTGTTGTTTGTTGTACAAGGCTGGTCTGTCTGTCGGCGTATTATTTTGCCCAGGGAGACTCTCTCAGGAGCGGAGACATGGTCTTTTTAGCAGTCACTGTATGGGCTCATGTTAGTTGTCTACCATGCCTCGTCCACGTCCGTCCGCGACCAGCTGGGGGCGCAGTTCAGAGAGCAAAGCAAAGCAGGGCAAAAGCAAAAGCAGAGCAAGCTCGACTCACCTGAAGACGGACTTTCTATGGAGTTAAGGGTTAAGGTTTAAGCCACAGTCACGTGGACAAGCCACCTCCCATGGCTGTGCGAGGGCAGCGAGATAGATTTGTACAAGACGGACAAGGAGCGTGTGAGAGCAGTCGACCATGTCCGACGTGGAGCAACGTGGAGCGTGAGCGGGAAGAGTCGACGAAGGCTGAACAGCGGGAGACGGAAGAGTTGAAACAAGCCAAGAAGCGTAAAGGAGCGGTTCATCATATATTGTCATTATAAACGATAAAAGAAAGGTAGATAACAAGAACCCCAAATCTACATGTGCCACGCTTTACTCAAGAAACATAGAACCCAAGATCCTGTATGTGCAGTGGATAAAAAGACATCCTTCCCAGTTCATAGAAACACCAAAAGGAAACACGGCCAGCCAAGTAGTATCAATAGTAGATCCCCCCAAGACAGACAAAAAAAAGGGCAGAGTAAATAAAAAGGAAGGCGGCCAATGTAACAAGAAACATCAAGTCTATAACAAAAAAGTTGTGGATGGATGAATTGGCAGGACCGGGATGGAGATTAACGGTGGCCTCTGTACGGAGTGAAGCCGGATGGGCTCGGTTCTCGGGCCTCTGAGGTATGGGACTGCCAACGGTCGATGGATGACATCTCAGCGTCATGTCTGAAGGGTGTGGTTTGGGCATGGGATAGGAGTCTGCGTTCACTTTCGTTGGGAGCCGTGTAGAACGAAGGCTCCTCAGGCTCATTCGGTTGGAAGGCTGGGTGGTCTGAAAGCTGGGGGACTCGGCTATGAGTATGGGCTGGGAAACTCATGCTGCCTCGAGCCTGTTGGCTGTAAGTTGATGGCGTAGGCGATGATGCCCGCGAGGAGCTAGGAGAATCCCCCGTGCCCATAAGGAAGCTCTTGGGGGTATGTGAGCGCTCAGTAAAGACGTCGTCTGGCCTGCCGTAGATGCCGCCGCCAAACTCATCACGGAAGTCTGGCCGATCCTTGAAGTAGGAGAAGTCAAGCTGGTTTTCAGCCACGACTTCAAAGGGTCTGTCACGGGTGTGTTCTGACTTTCCGGGCCGGGTGGATGACATCCTATGCATGGCTATGTCGGAGTATTCACCGGTTTCAGCGCCCAAGCCTTGACGGGACTGGTAGAATTTCTCCAGGGCACCGGCCGCCTTTGCGTGGACCATGGGGTTGGTAAGTGGTTTGTAGAGGGCAGGGTGGCCGAAACGAGAGCTGAGACGTTCGACCATCTTCTTGGAGGATTTGCTGCTTGCCATGGCCTCGGGATCGGTGACCAGAGCGCGGCTGTAGTACTGCATTTTGTTGTCGAAGGTGACCCGGCAGTACCATTTGAATCCCAACATGAGGAGGGGAAGCGGGACAAGGGAGTATACCATGGTCCAGGATCCTTGGGCCGTGACAATGAGGCCGGTGACGAAGTTGGAGAGGATGACGGCGAAGACAACGCGGTTGTAGATGACTCGCCAGTAACGCCCACCAGATTCGGTCTTGGTGACGAAGATGTAGAGCAGGAGGTACTTCTTCAGCCACGAGTCGACGCCAAAGTACAGGGCCGTCACGGGCAGGACGATGGGCTGCAGGGTGGAAAAGCAGAGAGCGGTGGTGACGTAGAAGAGGAAGTAGTTGTAGTAGCTGGCATAGTCGAACGGCGGTGGAGCAGTCCATTCGATATACTTGCGAGGGGTGGGACTGAAGAACTTGCGTGCAAAGAAGATCCAGACCATGTTGATCATCTGGATCAGGTCGACGGCGGCACCCAAGTTCCTCTGCAGCAGCCAATTGACCCAGAACGGCGCAACGTGGATGAGAGCAACGACGAAGCTCTGAAACGTACCTCTGGCCTGGAGGGCTTTCCATGCATCCTCTCCGTTCTTGCTTGCATCGATGATGACAGCGAACAACTGCCAGACGGTGGAGAAGAGGGAGAAGACGACCAAGTTATTGAAGACGAAAAAGGCGTAGAGACTGTGGATAACGTGCCTTTCACGGGCTGTCTTGGTTTTCTTGCCCGCGCTGATTGCAAGTCGTCGGAATATGATCGGAAGCACAATGTAGACCAACGAGAGAATTGCAGGAGAAGCGATACCCTGGACGGCGGCCCATGTCTTTGGATTCCCGTTCAGCGAGGTCTGGAAGGCCGGCCAGACCTTACCGAGGTTTGACAAGTTGGTCAAGAAGATGGCGATCATGGCGTTTGGAACGATCCAGATGACGGTCAGGATAGTCGACCAAATGGCGTTCATGAAGCGTTTCCACTTAAGATTGCTCTTGGTTAGGGCGAGGTTATCCCAGATGATGTCGTTGGGCCTTGGAGCCAGTCTGATTGTGGTCCCATGGGGGTGTTCGTTGCGCGCAGCAAAGGCAACGGCATGAGCATCCTCGATGGTGTCCCAGCTGGCAAATCCATACGGCATGGCGTTTCGCTTATCGATGGACTCCCGAACATGTCTGATTTCCATTTCCAGCTGTCTGACTCTGTCGGTATAATAGTCAATGGCATCTACTGGTTCAGAGGTAGAGTGCCCACTATGGTCCTTTTTTGATGGCTTGCAAGTTGGACGGGTTGGAGGCAGGTTGTCTGGGTCCTTGAAGTATTTGGCGAGGACTTCTTCGAGCTTCCTGACCATGGCATCGTGCTCCTTTATCAGGCCCGGCAGCTCTCTCATGTTTCGGCCAATGGATGCTCTAGGGATGCTGGCAGTAGGGTTGACTTCATCGGTAAGCCGCAGCAGGCCTTCGTCCGTCCGATAGTTCTGCGGGATGTGGGTGACCATGACCGTCCTGGCGTGCAGACTCTTCTGGTACTCGGGGCTCTGAAAGTAGCGGATACGCAGCCTGTGGATGGCCCGGTAGTTGCGCCAGAGGAAGTACATGATGATGAAGTTGAAGGCCCAGGCGCAGGCAATATTCGACCAGAGCGGCTCGCCCCAGACCAACTCGGGGGTCATGAAGTCGAAGAGCGACTTGTCCTGGCCGAGGGAGCGGTTGCTGTAGTGGACATTGACGGGTATCATGATGAGGCAGCCGACAATGCTCATGACGCAGAACATGTTTCTGCACATGCGGGTGAAGCGCAGGAAGATGGTGGCATCCATGCCCATTCGGTCGACGAGCTCGTCTTCCTTGAGCTTGATGATGGGCGTTATCCAGGCGAAGATGCCCTTGCCCAGCGGCGGGGGCGCATGGGCTTTGTCTGCATGCTTGAGCTTGGGAGCGTAGACGACCGAGTTCCGTGGCCGGACGAGCGAGAAGAGGAGGGCCAGGCCGGCAGTGATGCCGACAGAAGTGCCCAGCGAGACCCAGAAGGCATTGTAGTTGAGCTATTCACATTCTCCGTTAGTTATATTATAATATATATATATATATATATATTCTCTATAATGGAGAGAATTGAGACCGACCTTGGAGGTGAAGGGATTTGAGATGAGCTTCAGGAACTCGTCGGCACCAGAAGGAGGACCATCACGCTGAGCGAGTCCCCCCATCGTCTCGGCGTCTCTGAGCAGAAGACGACGAGGACAGCAGCGTCAGTCACTGTCCGCTCCCGGCGAGGTCGTTGCTAGAGGCTGAGATGGAGATTCGGCGTATCTATGCGGTAGCAGGCATGGAAGACCTCGACCAAAGCAACGAAAGCAAAGGAAGAAAAAAAAAAAAAGAAGCCGAAAAAACAAAAACGAGTGACGTGAGAGCCAGAGTCCCTAGGCCAGCCAGGTCATTCTTGTAAGTCAGTCAGACAGGCCAGTCAGCGAGGCGGGCGTAGCGAGGCAGCGGGCGCTGGCGGGTTGGAGGGAGGACGCTGGTCGGTTCGGCGGTGATGGAAGGAAAAGAGATGGACGGTTGGAACGAACCAGGGCGACGACGAGATAAGATGGGATGAAACGAGGGGACGAGCAATAGCAGGCAGTGCTATATTAATTATGGCTAGTTATCAGGTCGTCTACGCAGCAGCTTTTTAGCTGCTATCACCAGGTCAGGCCTAGACGCCAGCCATTGGCGAGGGAGCGAGGCAGAGGGCGCTGACGGAGCTGATGATGAAGCTGAAAAAAAGAGAGAAAAAGCAAAGAAAGACAAGACAGACGAGGATCTGCTGATGGACTGTGGACTCTGACTATGCAGGTGAAGAAGATGATGATGAGGATGAAGAAGAAGATGATGAAGAAGAAGAAGATGAAGAAGATGTTGAAGATGAAGTCTTATTATGGACGTTGGATGTCTACGGTGGTCTTCATCGACCGTCGACGTCTTTTTGCCGACTGTGTTCTGGCCCTTTTTAGCCGTTTTTGGGGGACTCCACCGGCTGTTGGGCGACTTTTACGGAGAAGAAGAAGAAGAAGAAGAGAAGAGAGGAAAAGAGAGAGAAAGAGAGAGAAAGCAGGAAGAAAAGGCTGGTCGACGGTCGAGCGGTGCTGGTCGGCGGTTAAGCTAGCTAAAGCTGCCAGCGTCCCCCGGTTTGCTCCTGAGGCCAGAGAGGCCCTTCGACCCCTGAAGTCCTGCCTGAAGCCATCGCTGCCGGAGAATAATAGTTAGAGACTCAGCAGACAGCCGGAGAAGCAGAGAAGAAGCAAAGCAAGGAGGAGTTTACTGGCTGAGGCAGTGCTGGTCCACCTGCAGGCCCAGGCAGAGTAACAGCCGCCGATGATCGCCACTACGACTGCGACTACGAGATGTCACTACCATCCTGCTGTCTTTGATAATACGAGTAACGTAACAGTGCAATTGCAAGAACTGTCCCTGCAGCCGATGGATGATGATCTGCAGCTGCGTCATCAAAGCTGTCAACAAGTTGATGCTACACTGACATCTCTTGGAGCAGCCTTTATCC